CCTCTCTCTGTAAAACTTACACTTTGAGAGGTTTTCCAGTTAAGCATAAAGCGTTTCAATAAATCTTCTAAACATTTAGTATCAGAGTTTGAAGGTCCGTCAGTGGAGTTACCTCCAAGGATAACTCATGCGAAGGTTCTCAGAGTTCAAAGAGACATTACACTATAGAGTTGTATGTGTGATGTATATATATATACATATACATATATATATGTATGTTGTTGTTAGATGCTGTTGTCGAGTCCTTGAGTAGATCCAACTCATAGCGACCCTATGTACAAAACAGAACACAGGCTATTCCTTCACCATCCTCACAAACATCAGTATGTCTGAGTCCATTGTTGCAGCAATATGTCAATCCATCTTGTCAAGGGTCTTCCTCTTTTTTGATGACCCTCTACCTTAGGAAGCATTATGTCCACCTCCAGGGACTGCTCCCTCCTGATAACATGTCCAAAGTATGTGAGACAGTTTCACCATCTTTGCTTCTGAGGAGCACTCTGGCTGTACTTCTTCTAAAACAGATTTGTTCGTTCTTCTGGCAGTTCATGGTATATTCAATATTCTTCACCAACACCATAATTCAAATTCATCAATTCTTCTAAGATCTTTCTTATTCATTTTCCAGCTTTCATATGCATATGAGGAAATTGAAAATATCATGGGTTGTGTCAGGAGCACCTTAGTCCTCAAAGTGGCATCTATGCTTCTCAACACTTTAAAGAGGTCTTTTGCAGCAGAGTTGCTCAATACAATATGTCCTTTGATTTCATGACTGCTGTTTCTATGGATATTGATTGTGGATCCAAGTAAAATGAAATGGTTGACACCCTCAATCTTTTATCTGTTTATCACGATGTTGCTTATTGGTCCAGTTGTAAGGATTTCTGTTTCCTTTATGTTGAGGTGTAATCCATACTGAAGGCTGTAGTCTTTGATTTTCATCAGTAAGTGCTTCAACTCTAAGGTTGTGTCATCTGCATATCGCAGATTGTAAATGAGTCTTCCTCCCTTCCTGATGCTGCATTCTTCATATAGTCCAGTTCCTGGGATTATTTGCTCAGCAAATAAATTGAATAAGGACAATGAAAGGAAACAACCCTGAAACACATCTTTTCTATATTTCCTGGATACCATACAATATCTCGTTGTTCTCTTTGAACTATTTCCTCTTGGTCTATGTACAGGTTCCTCATGAGCACAATTAAGTGTTCTAGAATTCCCATCCCTCTCAATGTCATCCATAATTTATTATGATCCACACACTTGCATGTCTTTGCATAGTTAATAAATCACAGGTAAACATCTTTCTGGTATTCTTTGCTTTTCAGCCAAGATCCATCGGACATCAGCAATGATGTATCTCATTCCACTTCCTCTTCTGAATCTGGCTTGAATTTCTGGGGGTTCCCTGTCGATGTACTGCTGGAACTGATTTTGAATGATCTTCAGTAAAATTTTACTTCTGTGTGAAATTAGTGACATTGTTCAATAATTTCTGCATTCTGCTGGATCACCTTTCTTTGGAATGGGCACAAATATGGATCTCCTCCAGTGGGTAGGCCAGGTAGCTGACTTCGTAATTCCTTGGCATGGAAAAGTGAGCACCTCCAGAGGTACATTTGTTTGTTGAAACATCTCAGTTGGAATTCAGATGATTACTGGAGGCTTGCTTTTCGCCAGGATCTTCAGGGTTACTATAGGGTCGCTATGAGTCAGAATCTACTCCACAGCAATGGGTTTGATTTTTTTCTTTTTTTTTTCAATGCAGCTTGGACTTCTTCCTTCAATACCATCAGTTCATGATTGTATGCTACCTCCTGAAATGTTTGAACACAGACCAATTCTTTGGGTACAGTGACTGTATATTCTTTCCACTTTCTTTTGAAGTTTCCTGCTTCATTCTATACTTTGCCCATAGAAGTCTTCAAAATTGCAACTTGAGGCCTGAATTTTTTCTTCAGTTCTTTCAGCTTGAGAAATGCCAAGCATCTTCTTCTCTTTTGGTTTTTTAACTCCAGGTCTTTGCACATTTCATTATAATACTTTACATTGTCAAGTCATTCACTGAAATTTCTGTTCAACTCTTTTACTTTGTGGTTTCTTCCACTCACTTTAGCTATTCTACATTCAAAAGTAGGTTTAAGAGTCTCTTCTGACATCCATTTTTGTCTTTTCTTTCTTTCCTATCTTTTTAATGATCTTTTGCTTCTTTCCTGTATGATGTCTGTTTTAGGCTGGGTTCTCTAGAGAAGCAAAACCAATAAAGCTTATAAGTATATACAGAGAGAGATTTATATCAAGGAAAATGGCTCAATGATCACAATGTCCTTGATGTCGTCTCACAACTAGTTGGATCTTTGGTCATTAGCTTTCAATGTGTCACATCTATTCTTGGGATGGTCTCCACATTCAGGTGTGATATACTTAAGGTCGTATTTTGGCACAGACTTGTTTTACTTTTCTGCTCCTTCAACTTGAACTTGGATTTGAGCAATTGATGGTCTCTTCCACAGTCAGCCCCTGGATTTGTTTTGACTGATGATATTGAGTTTTTCCATCATCTCTTTCCACAGATGTAGTTGATTTGATTCCTCTATTTCCATCCTGTGAGGTCCAAGTGTATAGTTGCCATTTATGTTGTTGAAAAAGGGTATTTGTAACGAATAAGTCATTGATCTTGAAAAATTCTATAGTGTGATTTTTGGCATCATCTCTATCACCAAAGCCATATTTTAGAGCTACCAATTCTTCTTTGTTTCCACCTTTCGCATTCCAATCACCAGTAATGATCAATGCATTTAGATTGCATGTTTGATCAATTTCAGACTGCAGAAGTTGGTAAAAATCTTCAGCTTCTTAATCTTTGGCCTCAGTGGTTGGTGTGTAAATTTAAACAATAGTAATATTAACTGGTCTTCCTAGTAGGCATATGGATATTGTCCTATCACTGATAGCATTTTACTTCAGGATAGATCTTGAAATATTCTTTCTGACGATGAATGTGCTGCCTTCCCTCTTCAAATTGCCATTCCCAGCATACTAGACAATAGGATTGTCTGATTCAAAATGGAAAAAACCAGTCCATTTGAGCTCACTAATGCCTAGGATATCAATCTTTATGTGTTCCATTTCCTTTTGGAGGACTTGCAATTTTCCTAGATTCACACTTAGTATATTTCACGTTCCGATTATCCATGCATGTTTGCAGCTGTTTCTTCTCATTCTGAGTCATGCCACATCATCAAATGGAGGTCTGGAAAGCTTTACTCCAAAGTTATTAAGTTCAGCTCAACTTTGAGTAGACAGCTCTTCCTCAGTCATATTTTGACTGCCTACCAAACTGAAGGGCTCATCTTCTAGCACCACATCGGACAATGTTCTGCTGCTATTCACAGGGTTTTCACTGACTAATTTTTTTCCTTCTTTCTAGTCTATCTTAGTCTGGAAGCTCCACTGATACCTGTCCACCATGGGTGACCCTGCTGATATTTGAAATAGTGGTCGTATAGCTTCGAACATCACAGGGACATGTAAGCCACCACAGTACAACAAACTGGCAGACACATTGTGGTATATATGTGTGTGTGTGTATATATATATATGTATATATGTATGTATGTATGTATGTGTGTGTGGTTATTATATATACATGTTTATATTTATTAAAATATATTTTAAATTATATAAATACATACTATATAGATCTATCAAGAACATCAAAATGCTTATTTTGTTTGTAGGTCAACATCTTTCTCTCTAGGAAGGAAAGACTCTATAGGAAGCCCAATTACCATATGAGATTTGTTTGATAAAGCCAGGATTTGAACAAAGGACGTTGTTGTTTATGGTCTCAAATAGCCATAGCCTGAAATATTCATCTTCACACAGAATGTAGAGCTGTACCAACCAGGCAGACAGGCCACTAATCAGTGAAACACCTCCCCTGCACTAGGACTGTGCCTGATACCTAATAAGAAGTTTTGCTTCCTTGATATACTTAGTTTTCTGTTTCTAAGCTGGGAGTCCCATTTCTGTGGACATCTTACTTCTTTGGATGGATTATTATAACATTGGCTCTTTTTTTATATATTAGTTGTTATTTTATTGCATATGATCTCATCAATGACATATTAACTGCTACAATGTAACTCTTGCAATTTTATAAAATTGTCACTAATTCACCAACCAAAAGATTTTGGCAGGGTTCATTGACTTAAGTTACCAAAAAAAAACCCAAAAAAACTACATACTAAATTTTATGAATGAATAATGGTTAACAAAAAGCTATTAAAGTACATAGGAAGAAACTATTGCTCAATACAGTTACTGCTTAATATAACTAGAATTGTCCTCATTGGAATACAAAGTCATGAATTACACCCTTGTGCATATTCCAGAGGCAACTGAAAGTTTTTTTTTTTTTAAGGATGTTACAAAAGGGAGCAAAGCATCAAATAGGGGCTTAATTAGCTAATATTTATGCTCCTATGAGATTCTTGTGATAATCTTACCCTATCAATTGTTGAACAAGAAAAGAACTAGATTCAGTTGTGCCAGAACTTATTGGCCAACAAAATAAATCCGTCAGAAATCAGAGATAAATTATTAAACTTGGATGAAAAACATAGAGAAGAGAAGCTCAAACCAGAATAATGCACAAAAGAGTGAGGTGAAGCTATACTTACAATAGGAACTGGCTCACATACTGCAAAAGAACAGGGGTAGCAATCCCTGAGAGCAGATGTGGGGAGTGAGCTTGTGTGCCCACAAATATTACTGTACTTGATGTTCTGTTACTTTATGTGACATTGGTTCAAAAAAAGGAAAGAAAGAAAAATGAGTCTGTGCTCACTCAACAATGCCCTCAAACGTAATTCTGGGAGAGAAATCTATTGTCCACGTCAGGATGAGAACATTTTCTCTTCTCTGTTAATCCAATTTGATTTAAATTGTTAGAGAATTAGCAATTGGAGTCTTCTGTTCTTTGCCATCTCAAGTCACAGTTTGTTGCACCACAACTTTCTCATGGCATTTTTTATATCTGTGCTCCTCAGAGAGTATATCAGAGGGTTAAGCAAGGGTGTCCCAATAGTGTAAAACACAGCCACCATCTTGTCCACTGGAAAAGTGATTGGAGGGCGAGCATATGTGAATATACATGGAACAAAGAATAAGATGACAACAATAATGTGGGAGGTGCAGGTAGAAAGGGCTTTCTTTCTTCCTTCTGCACTCTTGTTACTCAGAGAGTGTAAAATGAGAATATAGGAGATGACCAGTATTATGAAACTCACCATGCATATGGCCCCACTATTAAACACTATGAGTAGATTTATGATATAAGTATCCATGCAGGCAAGTTTCAACAAAGGTTGTATATCACAGAAATAGTGGTCAATAACATTGGGGCCACAGAAGGGTAATTTCAAAACCAAGAAAACCTGTACTAATGAATGGATGCAAGATCCCACCCAGGACAGCTTCAACAATGCACCACAGACACGCTGGCTCATGATGGTCGTGTATCGCAGGGGCTTGCAAATGGCCACATAGCGATCAAAGGACATGAGTACTAGCACAAAGATCTCCATGCACCCAAAAAAATGGGCAGCAAAAGTCTGAGTCATGCACTCATTGTAGGAGATGACTTTCTTCTTAGATACAGCATCTATAATCAACCTGGGAGCTGTGGTTGTTGAGTAGCAGGCATCAGCAAAGGACAGGTAGAAAAGGAAGAAGTACATGGGGCCACCTAACATCTGACTGTATCTGATGGTCATCACAATAAGTAAGTTTGCCAACAAAGTTGCAAGGTAGAGAAACAAGAAGACCACAAACATAAATTTCTCCTTCAGAACATTCTGTGTTAACCCAAACAGAATGAATTCAGTCACACTGCTGTTCAGCTCCATGGTTACAGTTGATATAAAAAGGATGCAGCTGAGAAATGGTGTATCTGCAAAGAAAAGTATGTAAGTGGCGACTCGATAATAGCAGCAGTCTTGGACTCTGAACTACAACTTTCTATTTCTAATTCAGTGGTGGTTCAATGTTAGAACTCTTGCCTTCAGAATGGGAGAGCCAGTTCATTCCCAGCCAATGCACTACATGTACAGTTACCACCTATCTGTCAGTGGAGGCTTTGTATTACAATGATGCTAAACAGGTTTCATCAGACCTTCCAGACTAATGAAAAAAGGAGCAGGAAGAAAGGCCTGGGATCTGCTTCTGAAAATCAGTCAATGAAAACTCAATGGATCACAATGGTGCAATCCCATGTTGTACATAAGGTCAGCATAAATTGGGCAACTTGATGGCAGCTAGGAACAACAACACAATCACTTGGGTTTTTGTTTTTTTTTAAATTCTGATGCCCATGCTTTAACCTCACACATTGACTCAAAGTCTTCTCTGTAGGACCAAGAAATTTTGGAGGAGAAAAAAACCCGCAGGCAATTGTGTTCTCTGACAAAATCTGAGAACTGCTTATCTTGCTATAAGACTGTCATGGATTGAATTATGTCCCCCAAAAGTATCTGTCATTTTGGCTAGGCCAGGATTCCAGGTATTGTGTGAGTGTTCATCATTTTGTCATCTGCTATGATTATCCTATGTTGCAAATCCTACTTCTATGATGTTAATGAGGCAGGATTAGAGGCAGTTATGTAAATGAGTCAGAACTAAGTCTGCAAGATTAGGCTGTGTCTTAAACCAACCTCTTTTGAGATATAAAAGACAGAAGCAAGCAGAGACACATGGGGACCTCATACAACCAAGAAAGCAGTGCTGGGAGCAGAGCACTTCCCTAGGACCCACAGTTTCTGCGCAGAGAAGCTCCTACACCAGGGGAAGATTGATGACAAGGACCTTCCTCCAGAGCCTACACAGAGAGAAAGCCTTTCTCTAGAGCTGACGCCCTGAATTTGTACTTCTAGCCTCCTACACTGTGAGAGAATAAATTTTTCTTTGTTAAAGCCATCCACTTGTGGTATTTCTGTACAGTAGCCTGAGATGACTAAGACAATGACCTTGAACAAGTCACTTTAATATCTTGAAAATTTTTGGCGTATAAAACTTAGATTCTAACAGACTCTTTATAATCATATGAAAGGAACCCTGGTGGCACAGCAGCGAAGCCCTAGGCTGCTAACTGAAAGGTTGGGGGCTGGAACACAACAGCCCCTCCACAGGAGAAAGGTGTGGCAGTCAGCTTGCCTAAAGATTACAGCTTTGGAAATCCAATGGGGCAGTTCTACTGTGTTCTATAAGGTTGGTATGAATCAGAATCAACTCAGTGGCAATGGATTTGGTTTTCTTTTTTTATGCAAGCATATGTGGAAAATATGTGTACATGTTTCTCAGTATCTGAAAAACAATATTCCTGTGTAAATTAAATATTAGTTTTAGAGATTCCCTACTGGGAGAAACATTCCTTAATTTGGACATAAGTTTGTGCCAATTATTCCTGACCTCTTCAGTGTCTTGGTTGGGTTTGGCCTTAAGAAGAATTCATTTCTCCAACTTTTGACTCTTGGTTTTACCTTCATTGTCTGTCAGGACACATAAGATGTTTGAATAAATAGTTGAGGCTAGTAATATTGAGCAAAATTATTATACATGAGAAATCATCCATTACTCACGTTAGATACGTAGTACTGAGTTTCACATTCTATGAAAGCAAAGTGATATACCATTCCTTATATTTGTAAAACTGAATAATGTCTTCACTCAATATGATTCTCCTATCAATATCTTCCAAAAGTTTTGTTTTCTGCCAATTTTTGTATCTCTTAAAATATAATTTTAAAAAAATTCATAATTTCACTATGCAGATCTCTTCCCCATTGTCCTACTCTATTTTTTGCTTATATACAAAAGTATCTTTAGAATTGCAATCATTCTGATTTTTTTTAACCTTCTGATTTTCATTTTGCATTGTTAAAAGCCTTTTCCTATGTAAAGAATATCTAAAATGTACTTATTTATTTCTGCAGTTGTAAATTACCATATACAAATTCATAATATACTTTTAAAACTTTATTCATTTAATTTGTTTTCAAATTTTCACTCTCAGAAAACTTCTGACTGCACCTCTTCTCATGTATAGTCTTTTCTTTATTTTTAGTCATTTCAGCAAGTACGTTTCCAGGGGATTATTGAGGCAAAAGGTACAATTATATTCATAAGTATCAGTAATTATTCTCAAATAACCTTCTAATTTTGTTGTTTCAATATTTATTGGAAATATGTAATTATACAATGAATATCTGTACGTAATAAAATACCCAACATTTACAATCAAGTACAGAGTAAAAAATAAAAGTCTTCTTCTAAAGTTCATGATTTCACAATCACACTTTACAGAGGTAACTAGTAGTTCCTTACATATTCTTCCATGTTTTTTCAGAGTTATACATGTACATACATTGTTTAAATATCTCTTTTTAGGGAAAAATTGGATTTTTTCCATTTTTTTTCTAAAATTACAGGAGTCTGAAACACATTTCTAGTGAAAATCTAACTTGGAACTTTATCTCATTTGCTTGCTGAGTATAATTAAATCTATGATATACATTTCCTTGATTACTGGTGATAGTATAATATTTTTGTATATTTTTTACTTCTTATATTTTGTCTTTCCAGATTATATATATATATATATATCTTTATCAGTTAATTTTTTAATATCTTTAAAGTTTGAGCTCTTTCCTTTTTTTCATATTTATATAGTTCAGTCTTCAATTTGGGGAGTTGTATCTTTATCCTGTCTTATACTATTTCTATAATTTTTAATACTAATCTCAAAAGATCTAGAATGAGGTACTCTTCCTTTTTCAGATTAATCACCAATCTATCAATGGGCCAATAACACCTCAAGTCAGTCATCATATGGACTAAGAACCTACTCTGATCTGTGGTAGCTATAATGGGACATAGAAATATGTCTTTAAATCCTTTGCAATCAAACTGAAGGGAAAACATACCTCTGAATAAGATAATGAATCACATAAGAATTATGCATGACTGTATAAGGTAACACCTAATGAATTGTGGTTCCAAAAGTAGAGAGAATCCTAGAGAACAAATTGAGGGGACGTGAAGGTTCAAAAATGAGAAAGAAATGGAGTTACAGATTTCAATGTTAGAAAATGAAGTTTCCAACTTGGTTCTCAGGAACTAAGGTAATGATTAAGCTTATACAGAATTTCCCTAGGCAGAATTAATATTTTAAAACTAGTAACTCACATTGTCCCCCTAATAAAGCTGCACAATATAGATAAAACTTTAAGTTTCTTTGCAGTCCAGCTGAAATAATATTAACTCAATGTGATAATATTAGTTATGATAACTAGAAGCTCTGACCAGCAGTTCCAATTATCTCTGACAAATACAAAAGAGAAGGTGATACCTTAAGTTTCTGTCCTGACTCCAAAATCAACCACTGTAAACTTCATGGTGGGACAAATAACAAAGCAGAAAACTAGGTACATAACAAATAATGGTGGAGGGACGGAAAGGGCAGAGACTTGATGAAGTTAAAGCAGGAGAGTGGAGAGTTACAGTGAGCGAATACCAAGGAACAAAGAAGAGCAAGAGTATGGGATACAGAAAGACACATGGGAGGAGACAAAGAATGTTATAGAGGGTAGTGTGACCCAAGACTTCATCGCGGAGTCCAATTTTTTTCTCCCTGACCCACTGCACTACCACTTGCCCCAAAATCTGACATGGGATGCTGTTGGAGGCTATGATCAAGGGTTGCCTTAGGTCTTGAATATCCAGGACGAATGTGTAGAATTGCAGTGCTGTTTTATACCCTGCCCCAGGAACAGCACCAATGAACTTCAAACTCTTTAAATGAGAGCACCCCCAAGAATAGAAATTTCTGCCAGGCTGGCTTCAATACCGTGGTGTAGATTATTTTCCCTTGTGTAAGCACGAAGACCTTTCACAGATAGTATAGTTTTGCTCAGAGGACAGGGAAGCCTTAGGAATCCTGAACCACCGTTGATAGAAATGCTCCCTAGGTGTTCTATCTTTTTCAGAATACAGACTGAGTATAGAATCTATCAGAGTATAGATGTCACCAAGTCAATTTTGAGGAGATATTGCAAAGAAAATATTTCAGACAGACTTGAAAAACTTACCTCTTTTCTTTTGAGCAGATATATGACTCCCAATAAAGCATATTTTCATATTTCAGCTTTAATATACTTAGAAGATGAATCATGTGAAGCCCACCTGAAACATGGAAATGATGCTTTGTTGACATTTATTGATGCTTTCTATCACAGGAGGTTATGGAGAGTGGAGAGTTTATGGAGACATGGGAGTCTGAATATGCAGGCTTTACATCATTGCTCCCCTGAAGCAGTAGCTTTGACAAAACCATCAGGTCAATGACACTTGCTGGTGCAGTAAAAATAATAGTAAAAGTTTATCAATCTGGTTCTTGAAAATACCTTTATGGAAGAAATTATTTCAGTACACTGAGAGAGAAATGCCTCTGAGGCCAGTATGCTTTTTACAGGTCCGTTTTGGAAAACATGAGTTAATGTTTCCCTTTTTACTGTATTGGATATTTATACTCATTCACACAAAAGTTTAAAAAAAGCTTATGGCAGGCTTTCAGCCTCAGGAGCTCCAAAGAAACCCTTACTCCCAGCCCAGTCCCTAAGGATGGTCCAATGGGCTACCCAGCTCAGACAGCCCAAGAGCAAAAGCAAACCTTGGGACCAATTAGTTAAACTCCAACTCACTCTGAATGCGTGTGAGGAAACATTAATCCCTTCTCCACAGGATTGCTTAAAACCATTTCTTCTAGAAGCATGAAAGTCTTGAAGCCAGTTAAAGGCTCAGATGAGTGACATATGTATGGTAGACATGAATTCTGGCTTCACCACTTCTCTGCTGTATGAACTTAAACAAGTTTCTTAACCTCTTTAAATTTTCAGTTTCCTCTTTTGTAAGAGGTAACTGGTAATTATTATTATTATTACTTTTAGCATTACTAATATTACATTCTCCTGT